TTTAGATTGGATGTGAGGAAAAATTTCTTTACTGAAAGAGTGGTTAAACATTGGAACAGGCTGCCCAGGGAAGCGGTTGAGTCACCATCCCTGGACGTATTTAAAAGACGTGTAGATGAGGCACTTAGGGACATGGTTTAGTGGTCATGGTGGTGTTGGGTTGACGGTTGGACTCGATGATCTTAGAGGTCTTTTCCAACCTTAATGATTCTGTGATACTAAATACAGGCAAAAGCTGTCTGTAGAAGCAGCGCTCCTTTTCCTTGAAAGCAAAGGCCATCATGTACCATTTTTCATTATTTTCCTTTGGGCTAAAGGGAAATTGTGAAAGGTCTGCTTCACAGAGAAGGTGGCCTCCAGTGAAACCCTCTGAGAGTAAGACAGTGAGCAGACCCAGAGGATTTCCTTGCTCCTACATTGCTGTTCTTTTACAACCAAAATATGCAGGGGTAAAGTAGCAGTATAAAGAGGGTAAGAGTGATTTTGATAATGAACTTCAGTTTTTCTCTTTTCATAAAAATGAAGGTGAAGTACTTTAGGAACGTCATTATCTTCTGCAGTTACTGCATATCTGCAGGACTCGGTTAAGCTCACTGCAGCACAGGACAAGTGCGTTAGCTGCTTGCCCTGTGCCACCCCAAAGGCAGCTGCCTTGCACTCAAATATATATCACTGAAGTGACAGATGGCAATTGCATAAAACATATCTGTATGACACAAAGCAGTAGCATACCTCACTTTAGGGAGATTATAGAGGGAATTCAAGCAATGAATAACTACCAAGTTTTGATTTGCTTCTGATCCAGGGTTTAAAACTTGAGCTTTTGAGAATTTTCAGTGAAATTTCATGATAACAAACTAGAACCTCAGTTCTGAAATTATTCAGAAAATGCCACTGAATATCACACTAGGGTATTGGACTGGATTGGGTCAGGCAGGTGAGTCTTTGATCACACGCATCGAACCAAGGTTTTCCAAATATCCCCCTGACACAGCTCAATCCTGTAAGCATGGAGTAAAAGCAAGAAATCATACTACTTCTTTAGAAAACACAGCACCTCTGTTCTTCTTAAATATGGAAGGGAATGGGTATGGGAACATGAGCTCAGCATGTGCTGTGTGAAAGTTTTGATTGATGTGAAAAGACAACCATGCTAGGAAGCACATACTTTGCTCCATTGTGCTGCTTTCTTGGGCTGTAATCTCATGTAATTTTGCATCCAATTTAAAGGACCTCCACAGGTGGTTCTGCAAATGCAAGCTATGGCATCAACACAGCCTCTCAGCTTCTTTCTAAAAACATTTAATTTTTGCCTCTCGTGTTTATTTTGCCCAGTGAACAGCAGCAAGCACATAGTGAGGAAATACCGTGGGCACCTCCGAACAAAGATTGAGTCTGGAGAAGGAACCATACCCGTCCGGTGTCACAACGCAGCTCAGACGTGGGATGGCGTGTTGCTGGGAGAGCAGCTCATCACCATGTCCTGTACAGACAAAATTGCCAGGTACTGTAGCACCCAATGTATATACATCGCAAAACTCTTTGCATGTGGAAATGAAGTTTGATACTACAGAGGACTACGGCTACTGGTGGGGAATAACTAGCAAGTGCTGACAAACCCTGCGGAAACAAAGACCTCCTTTGTATGCAAAAACAGACCATATATATAGGACAGAATGTAAATAGGACATTTTCCCAAATTCTCCATGGGTCGTTAGTTGCTTTTTACAGTGTGACAGAAATATAAACTGTCTTTGCAGCATTTTTGCCAATAGAATTTCAGTGTGCAAATAAAATACATCCACTCCGCTCTTATTGGATCATTTACCACAAAACTTGCAAACCGACCATCATGCAGATAAACTTAGCTCGTCTGCACCCTATTGGATAAAGTGCCCTAAAAGCTGCTAGGAATATTTCTACTATTTTGAATGTCATTGCAGAACTTCCGTGTCACAGCCCCCTCTGTGGCTTTCTGCTCTGTCCTGTAAATACAACATATATTTATGCAGAATAATTGCCATACAGTAAATATTTCATAATTATTCTATAGTGGCACATAAAATGTCAACACACTCACCATTCTCAATTTAGGGTGTTAACTACTAGCAAGTGATGGCTATCACAAACAGAAAACAAAGTGTGTGCGTTTGGATGCGTACTTATTACACTATTAGTATATATCTACTATACATGCATAAGTATACATGCATGTATACTTATGCTCATAATTATATATCTATTATGTGCATTAGCTATAGATGCAGCTCTACATGTAAAATACATTACATTATAGCTATAAAAATGCAAATGTTATGATCAAATTCTCTGCTGGAATATCATGCCTAAGAACTCAGTCAAATTACATCAGCCGAGAATTTGGCCCAATTATTAAAGGCCAATATAAGCATAATCTTTCAAAAAAGCATAAAGTTTTTGTTTAATGCAAATGGATAAATTCTGCTCTTAGCTTTAACCGGATGACCTACTGAAGTTAAATTAGTCTGTAGGCTTAGCAAAGCCTGGCATTTTGGCAGAAAAGTGTATGACTGAACCAGCAAATGGAAATACTGACAGACTCACAAAATCCACCCTCTGCTAAGTGTAGTCATCACAACTGTTGTGTTTGCATGAAGGATAAAGAGCAACTTCTGCTATAATGTTTTCATTTATTCATAAAGAGATAACAGAAAACCCAAACTGTTTTCAGTGGATCTCCCACACTGGTTTTAGATGCAGTTGGGTTTTCCAAATTCAAACTCATATGGACTCAAAAAAATAAACAAGTTTAAGTTCGAGAATGGAAATATTGCACTCTCTGTGGTTTTGAATGTCATAAATATCATTAAATATCAGCTTTGCAAACAGTGTTACATTTGCTATTGATGGGGATGTTGACTGTTATGCACAGTCTCAGAAGTTGGGTTTTCTCCAAGCACATCTGCTAAGCACTTTCAGTGAATCCTTTCCTTGTTGCCACATATCTAAACAGCATTAAAGTCTGTGAAGAAAAAAAGAATCTACTACAAATTTTTTCCAGGATAAAAAAAATCTTGCAGCTTTCATCTTTGATATTATTATTGCAATATTGTATGCATTACTGCAATTTTTATTATTTGTTTGCACTGTAACTCAAATGGGCATGGGATTTTCCTAGACAAAAAAAAAAAATCAGCAATTGTTATTCCCTGTTTTGAACAGCAAAGGTTTATTCCAACAGGGACAGTTAAAAGCTCTGAGACTGAGAAAAGGGGTGGAAAAAGCAACGTTTGTAGGAATGGTCGTAGTGTTGTGGCACTACAAATGCTTCAGAAGTTTGGTTATTTGTGTGTTGCATTGCACTGGAGAAATCTGCAAGACATTTTGCAGAGCAAACAGCCATGCATGCAATGATGGGTCCAGCTAAAGGGTTGCTGTGGTGAGAGCAGCACAAGCCTGTGCCAAAATCAGCAGCCAGTGCCTCAACTACAGGTCCCAAAAGCCACAGAGTTTCAGTAGTTTGATTTAGGGTTTTTTTATCTAACAGGGCAGCTCAGTCACTCCCAATCTATTTGGCCTATCCTATTGTATCTTCTTGACAAATTTCCTAACCTGTGTGTCTCCCAGTAGATCTGCTGGCAGCTGGCACAGGGAAGCTCCCCTCTGTCCCACCACAAAACATGACACTTCCAAGCACTATGGGCTCCTCGGTCAGGTTAAGAGCTCTGATGCAGGGGAAATTGGTAGAACAACTGCTGAATTAGCAGATGAAGAGAAAAGATCAAGTAAGCATGGAGATTCAGAAATCGATGAAGGTTTAGAGTTTCAAGGAAGAGGGAATGGTCGTTCCTAATAAAGGGGAAGGATAGAGATGGGAAATTATTATAGAAGAGGTTATTTGTGGGCAGCACCAGTAGTTACTGGTGCGGAGAGCTCCAGTAACTAGAACTGAGGGAAACCAGACGAGGGACCCGAACAGGGATTTTGAGGAGAAAAATTGAAAGTTAATAAGCAGAGAGCATGGAGTTGAATGTAAAAAAAAAAATTACCCTTTCACAAGGGAAACCAAGAAAGGCAAATGGAGTCCAGAGAGTTCTGGGGGCATCGCCATGGCATGTACCACGGTGAAGGGTCTGAAAGCTTCTGCAGAGAGTGCCCAAGGCTATGTAGAGATGTTCTCAGCCCTGGCTGCACTTGGAGGTCATGCCTTTCCCTTCCTTTCTCTCCCACGGTCACATTGTGAGACGTGGTTCTGCAATTTTATTTCCACCAGGCTCCTAATTACATATATTTGTGGCATGACTTCAGTTGGGTTCACAAGTTCTAGTTCAGGAATCACTGTGCTAGCGAAAACAAAGCACCAATACTGCAGGAAATGTTCACAACACCAAATCTTGCATGGCAGAAAATAAGAGGTCCCCTCAGAGCTGGCCACTGATGACAATGTTGCCGGAGATTTTTGGCTGCTATAAATGTTAGGTAAAGCTTGGCAAAGAGTGGTGAGAAGATATGGCATCTTCAATAAACTTTATCCCAAAATTCAGTTTACCACATTATATATGATCTAGGATCAATTTTTATCCTTCTTATCCTCACCTGTAAGAGGAAGAAATCAAAGGTTTCTTCATCTGACCTTTGTTTCACCACATATGGGGCTGTTTTCTGCCTTCTTCACCACTGCCCGTAGAAAGTACTGGCAGGAAAGGAGTTCAGTGGATGAGGAGATTTCTGTGTGAGGGCCCTTTCCCTGCTCCTGCCTCCACTGAAGAGATCAGTAGGTGGTTTCTGTGCCACACTTCAGACTCCAAATATTTGCTCTATCACATAGAGAGCAATGTCTGCAGGATGCAGGACTCTGGTTGCACATTATCTGGACTTGTCTCGCAATGAGAAAAAAAGATCTCCAAAGCTGAAATTCATGCTTGTATAAGCAAGATTTAACAAAAATCTGGCTTGTATACTTTGGATTTCATTGCTTGTAAAAGCCCCTCAGGAGCACTGGGCTATTAGAGAATGTTTCCTCTTGAGAACTTAGCCAGTAGCTGCTAAAATATACATCATTTTGCATTATTTGCAAAGGACATTGCTATCAGAATATCAAAGACCCAAGAACAGAGCTACTCAGAAAAGTGAATAATATTCTATAAATCATGTATCTAACGATTTATCTTCTTTCTTGCTCACAGGATAGCCATAAGGAGAGAGTGCTTTAATCAGATTTATTTGTGATTCAAAGGCATTTAGCAATTTTTATTACTGCCACCACAACTTTGAGAGAATTTGTTGCTTGGTATGCATTATTTGGGCTCTGTGGCTCTGTTGAGATTGCAGAATAAACAGCCTGGTATCATACCTATTCCCTTACTGAATTAAAGCACAAACACTTCTGGCATGAATACTCATGTTATTTGGCTCAGGCAGGGAATTACGAGGTGAAATTCTGCAACTGCATTATAAAGGAGGTCAGACTAGATCTTGGTGGTTCCTTCTGACTTTAAAAACCTATGCATTTATATGTGCAAATTTAAAGTTTGGGCTCTGTGAATCCCCAAATAACCCACCCTAAGAGAGTGTTAGCTTTTACACTCACAACTTCAGCGAGTCTCACAGTGCAGCTGAAGTGAGTTCAGCTTCTCAGTGCCATAGATTTTAGGACTAAATCACATTCTTTAGACCCAAAGTTCATTAGTTACATTAACACCTAAGAGTTTGACCTCCATTTTCCTCTGTAATATACACTGTACACACTTGTGAAGAAGCAGAAATATCATGACCAAAATAATTTTGAAAATTATCAACTGTTTGGGGAAAAATTTGTGTCATTTAACATTTTATTGACGCTAATCATAACCTATATTAAGACCTTTATGTCAGCGCAGACATCACAGCCCTAAGAGAATTTAGGCTTTTTGTGACAGCAAACCCACTCATACAATGGGCCAAATTAAACCTCTTTTCCTCTCTCTCTCTCACACTAAAGCTGGATGCGGGAGCAGCTCGTACCTTTGCTTATTAGGTCAGTGCAAGGTTAATGCTGCTGGTGGTGGAAGTCTCTGCAGTTGCTGTTCAGGAGCAGGCAAATGTTTGAAGGAAAATTGACATATGTACACACATATACACACAGGTATGCATACACACAGACACACAACACACACATTTAGGTAATAACAAGGATATCTCTGAAGTTCAGCACCTCTGTGAGGATCTAAATGCAATGACCAAATATTAGGAAGGTCCAGCACTAAATTCTATCTCAGATGCTCAGAAATGTTCACACCAGTGAGGACTGAGAGGCATTCAGGTTCCCACTGGCTGTGGGGGTGAGCTTTGCAAGCACCCATTTAGTGCCCTGGGGCCTCAGGGACACCGGCTCTCTGTTTGTGTCCCCTTCAGTGATATGGTCTTCAGCTGCTCAAAGCCAGCCCAGCACTGAGCCTCTCCACTCCCCTGCGCAACACTGCTGGCTTCCCACAGCACACAAAGTGTGTACGTGTGTGCCAGATTTGCAGGTGATAGTTCACATAA